GGAAAGGTACCTGGCATTTTCGTCCATCCACCATCCGTAGGTCCTCCTCAAACTCTACTCCCACCTCGAATTCTAGAACGTAGTTGCGAAAGGTGCTGAGGGTCTTCACTGTCATGTGGTTGCCCCGATGGTCAATCTCCTTGTCTGGCTTGAGCAGCAGTGCTATCTTCCGCAGAGCCACGTTGATGTCTGTGGGGATGATCTCTTAGCCGGTGTCCTCTTAGCCAGCCAGCCAGGGTTCCCCCACCTGCAGCAGCCCCTTGGGGGCTGTGAGCTTTCTCTCAGCTGGGTCTGGACTATATTGATTTACTCCCTCCCAGAAACACTCCTAGAGATGGATCCCAAGAGAGGTGCCAGCTCCTGAGCCTTCCCACAGGGTCCAACCCCAGCATTCCCCCTTCTCAATGGGATGGAGAGGCAGGAAGGTAGAGGGAAAAGGGGGAGTGAGAGGGGTCTGGGAGGGGTGAGGCCATTACTTAGGGCTTGCAGGTAGTCCTCCATGTTCTTCTGTGAGACAAAGCAGTAGTAGCCGGTGAGGTTGGGAGGCATTGTCCAGGCTGGCCAAGATGGAGATGGAGATCTTAGGAGACTATAGGAGACAGGGTGAGGAGGGAGGGGTGTTGTCTGGCAGGAGAGACTCCCGCCAGGCCTCCACACACAGAGACAGGCTTGTGTAAAGGTCTATGCTTACCAGGGTTTTTATAGCGCCCGGGGCTCTGTTGCAATAAGAGCTCCTACCAGACCGCCTCCCTCCCCTCATGATGAGTTTGGGGTGGTGTTTGCTGCCCGAAGGAGGGGCAGGGACTTGGCAAGGTCGTGCTGGACCTCGGCTTTTCCTGAGGAAGGAACCTGGAGCAGGATCTGGGGCTGTCAGTCATCCAAGACTTGAGCCTTTCCAAAGGTCAGCTTGGCTTCCAGCCCATTTGTGGGAGGCTTGGGAACCATTCCAGAGCCCTGGGGAGATGGTGTCCCCCTGGGAGGAGCTGGTCTTGCTGTGTGGAGTGTGGGCTCTTCCAGGCTTACCCAGGGATGAGTTCCAACAATATTCTGAGATCCTGGGGCTGAGTTGGGGATCCTGAAAAGTATGAGGGGAGAAGGTGGGGGAAGAAGGAGGACAGCCAGCTGACCACGAGCCAAAGTGAAGCAAATCCTATCGTGCTGGCCCCCACAACTCCTCTAGACACCTCCCCTAGCTGCATTCCAGGCTCTGTCCTATAAGACCACTGGGAAGGAGGTGGAGAAACTGCTCGTCCTAAGCACAGAGGGGGCGGTGGGCAGCCTGATGAGGTGTTGAGTTCAGAGTCCAGAGCGGAAGGTGAGGGAGGAGGTTGGTTGGCTATTCTGGAGAATTTTACACGCTTTGGCCTGGGATCCAGGGGTTTCCTTCTCCCTGTGGAGTCATTGATGATACATACCCCCCCCCCGCCCCCCCACCCCCCAGTGCCTCAGCCCTCAGACAGCCCAAGCTTACCAGTATTCCCATGGTGGAGGGAGGTGTGCCTCAATTATTTTGTGCCCCACCTCCCGCCCCCAACCTACCAACTTCTCTGGCTTCAGAATCAATGGGCTGATTTAAGATGGATTAAGGTGGGGAATTCGGGGAGAGGAAGGCAGGGAAGGTAGGCAGTGGGGAAAATTACACCCGGTGGTGGACTGCCTCGACAGGTGTGTGCGTGCGTGTGTGTGTGTGTGTGTGTGTGTGTGCGTGCGCGGCACAAAAATCTCACTTTTCCTTCAGTTCCAAAGCCCTTTCCGCCGCCCTGCTGACCACCCCGTGTTTTCCTGAGAGACCTGGGGCTGGGAACTGAAATGCTAGGATCTTTCGGGTTCAGGCTGTGGGTTTTACTTCACGGTTCCCAGGAGGCACGCAGCGGGGACTTGCTGATGGAATGGACTGTGTAAAGAGGTTAATGCAGAGTTGGGGGGTGGGGGTGGGGTGACGCGGTACTGCTCCTCCTCGCCTCCCTCAGGTCTCCGTTGACGTCTTGGTTCCCCACCCCCGAGCTTCTAGCTTCTAGATTCTCCCGAGGTCCGTCTTATTTCCCACCCCCTCTACGGCTCTCCAGCTTCCTCTCCAGCCCCCGCAGTTCCCTGGCTCCCGCAAATTGCAATCCAGGGGGAAAAAGCCCTAAAAGCATCCTCCCGCCCCAGCTCCCCGGTTCCATTGGTTCCCTCCCCCGCTGCAGCACCTGGCCCTCCCAGTCAACCGATTGGCCCATGGCCTCATCAATCTTCGTCTAGCTGTGCTTACGTCATCCTGCAGTAGAGGGGATGGGAATGAGAGAGAGCGAAAGAGCGAGGAAGCCGGGCTGGAGAGCATACGAGAAGCCACTGCAAGTCCCCCACCTCCGCCACCCAGGTTGGGGTCTGCCCAGGTCTGCTCTATGGACTAGTGTGGGCGGCAGGCTCCTTCTGTCTCTGCCCTGCTGCCCTCTCTCTTCCCTCCCCTCCTTGGAGGTCCCCTGCATCCCTCCCCCAAGGAGCAGTAAGTGGGCTTGAGGCTCCCAGGGGAGAGCAATCGCCTGGCCCTGCCCTGCTCTTTACCACACCACACCATGACCCTCTTGCTGCTGCCCCTCTTGCTGGCCTCCCTTCTTCCCTCCAGCTCCTGTAACAAAGGTGAGTGAGGTGGGGGGGCACTAAAAGAGGGGTTTCAGGCAGAACATTGGGGGGTAGGGGTGAGCAGGAGCCATGAGGCTCTCTGGCACATGACAGGTGTCAGTTCTTCCCACCATTCCCCTTCCCATCCATTTTCTCAGACGTACCCCTTCTCCTTTCCTTTGAAACATACCCCCCCCTCCCCACATCCTCCTGTCTGGTCCATCTTTATCCATAGGCTTCTTGGGTCCCATTTGGTCCCTATTCCCATCTTGGGGTTTCTGTCTCCCTGTCTCCCTTGGAGATATTTCAGGTCTCGGAAGGACTTGCCCTGAGGGTCATTATACATCTCCGGGTGGTTCTCCATTTTCACTGGGGTGTGCGTGCACTAAGGGTGTGTGGCAGATCCATCTGGTTCATCTCCATCCCATCCTGGGGAGAAACTGTTCCTTGCAGCTCAGCAATTCGGAGCACGTATGTTTTGGCGTGTTCCTCTGCATCTATACCCTTATGCCTGCATGCAGCTGGGTTGTGGGTTACCAGAGCTGCCCTCTCTGGCAGACAGCAGATAAATTCAGCTGGGTGAGGCCCACAGAGGGACCAAGAGGGAGGGAAGAAGGGAAGGGGTGGAGGAAGAGGGCTCAGGTAGGTGGAGAAAGGCAGGAAAGGGCAGAAGTGGGTGTGTGGGGGAGCTAGATGAGTGCTGAGAGGGAAAGCTGAGAAGGAGAAGGGAGATGATGTGTGGGAGGGGCATAAGAAGGGGTTGGAAAGGGTAAACGTGGAGGCAAAAAAAGGGGAGAGAGGAATGAAAGGGAAATCAGGAAGAATGGAGGAGAAGACGGGGTGGGGGGGGGAGTCAAGGAAGGAAAAGACAGGGAGCCTAGGAGTGAGTGAAAGGAGATGGACACAAGGAGAGAGCTGGTGGCCAAGAGGAGAGGAGCAGGGTCAGGGGTGAGCTGTGAAGAGGGTGCCCAGTGCTGACCTTGCTGTGTGTCTCCCCTCCATCCTCAATCTCTGACCTCAGTCTGGTTTTTTAGCCTCCTGCCACTTCCTGTGCTGCCTTCTGAGCACTGTCTTGTGGCTTTCACCTCTGCCACTAGAGAAGGGGTGGTGGTAGTCATCAGCAAGAAAGGGGCAGACTTTCAGATACAAGACGGCTTTTGGGGGTAGGGTTGGAGGAAAAAATGGATTTCTTGCTCACCATGACATTCTGGGGACGAGTTTCCTTTGGCGACATCCTTTTGGATGATGTCTTTCTCTGCCCATGTCCTGCTGATGGACCATCATAAATGTACCTGGGAGCCTGAGGGTTGACATGATAGGATTAGATAGAGCAGGCGGTGGAGGTTGGGGTTGGGAGGTGATGTAGGAAGGGAAGGGAAGGGAAGATGCTGTGCTTTCCCCATAGCCTCTTACCAGGCTAGTGGGAAACTGGTCCTGGCAGGAAGCACAGTTGAGCTAAGTCTGGTAGGAGATAGGGAGATTTGGAGGCTGATCCATCCAGAATGGGCTGGTGGTTGAAGGGAAGTAGGATAGAGTAGACAAGAATTGGGACTAAGTTATGAGACTGTATAAAAAGTAGGGTTCAGGGAGCATGGGGTTTGGTCACCTTGGTGGGGGGGGACATAGAAATGTGTTGGTTACAAGTGTGTTCTCTTGGCTGTGGGGGTGAGAAGCAGGGAGGAGATTTGTCCTGATTCTAGGCCAGCTCGATAATCCCTTAGGATGTTGGCTCTGCTGGGTCCAGTTATTTGGCATTGATTCCTCCGCTCTATCGCTGCCCTTCTCTGTCCCCCTCCCTCTGTCCTATATATTTTCTCTTCTCTCTTTCCCCCTCTTCCCTCTACTCTGAGAGAATGGCCTTAGGTTGGGGCTTGGCTGGGAGAAGTGCAGAGTGAAGGGATCAGGATTGAATGGGGTAGTGGAAGTGGTGATGGAGTGGATAAACAATCAGGATCTCAGGAAACTTCTAGATCTCCTTTTTCTAACATCAACTCAGCCCTTCATCTATCCCTCCCCTTTCCCAGGGCCTTCTGATGGCCCACCACTATTTCCTGAATTCCCCAGTCTCCATTCTCCAGCACTTGAAATCCCTAAAGAAAATTCTCCATCCTCTGACCATGTTTCCCAGTGAAGTTAGAAGATCCATCCCTCTCCTCAGGGCAGACTGTTGCCATGGAAACGTTCTATCCTGCCATAGGAGAAGGCTGTGACCTCCCTCAGGCCTTCTGACTCCTTTAATAGCTGATTTCTTGTCCTCATTTTTTCCACCTGCAGGTGCTTCTGCAGGGTGTGGAAAGGGTAGTGATACTGGAGTGTGAGTTTGTCTGAGTCAATGAGGGTTGTGTGGGAGTGACGGGCGAGCTCACAGGTTCTTCCTCTCCTCTCCCTTGGGGGGTCAGCCAACAAGCACAAGCCATGGATCGAGGCGGAGTACCAGGGCATCGTCATGGAGAATGACAACACGGTCCTGCTGAACCCACCACTCTTCGCCTTGGACAAGGACGCCCCCCTGCGCTATGCAGGTAATTGGGATTGGTGGATTGCCAGGTGGGTAGGGCAGAGAAAAGTGGTTGGGAGGGTAGAGGGCAGGAAAGGAGAGGGGAGGTCCTGGGAAGGAGAGCAATAAGGAAGTGAGAAAGAGGCCTTGGAAAGTGGAAGATGAAGTTGGCTCAAGGAGTAGAAAGGGCTACATTGAAGCTGGTGGTTGGGTAAAGGCAACCAGAGAGGACATGGGCAGGATAGGGGTTAAATGCATCAAGATTTTTCCAGATCTCAGGCCTGGTACCTCTGAGAGGTTGTTGATCAGGAAAGCTGGCATTGGAGCTGTATGCTTGATAATTATTGCTTTCAGATGCACAAAAAGGACTGGGTTTGGGAGGAGAGGTGAAGTGGGAACCCGAGGCAGGGAGGCTGAGGCTGGAAGGAGATGCTGGAAGTAGTGCAAGAGCCTCATCTTCCCCTACCCCCTCGGCCAGGTGAGATCTGTGGCTTCCGGCTCCATGGGTCTGGGGTGCCCTTCGAGGCTGTGATCCTGGACAAGGCAACAGGAGAAGGGCTGATTCGGGCCAAGGAGCCAGTGGACTGCGAGGCCCAGAAGGAGCACACTTTCACCATCCAGGCCTATGACTGTGGCGAGGGCCCTGATGGAGCCAACACCAAGAAGTCCCACAAGTGAGGAAGCCCTAGTCCCGTGCCCCCTGCTGCAGGGTCTCCTCCCTCCTTCCAAGCCCCTCGCCATCCTCCATCGGTGCAGTCATTGAGTATTATCTGCCCTTTCCCTCTCTGTTTACAGGGTTTAGGGACAGGAGACAGAATTATATAGTAGAACTTAGTGGGATCTAACCCTGGCTCTGCCTCTTATGGCCTTGGGCAACTTAGCCTTTCTGGATCTGCTTTTCTTATCTGTAAAATAGAAATAATGATGTCACCTACTTCTTTAGGTTGCTGTGAAGATGAAAGGAGATGGTTTGTATAAAAAGCATGCACCACAGTGCCTGACAGATAGTAATGGGCTCAATACATGGGAGTTATGATGACCAGGAGAGCAAGGAGGAAGCGAATGAGCACACTCAGCACAGTAGATTCCTTCCTACTGTTCCGTCGGTCTATCTGCAGTGTGCACCACTCTCACACCGTTATAACACACACAGCACTCTGGGTGAGGGTAGGCAGGAGCTGGCTACAGCATGAAAGAGGCTGGGACCTGGGACTCCTTTGTTTCAAGCTAACTTCTCATGTGAGACTGGATGAAAATTGGCAGGCAGGATTCCTGGGTTGCTAAGAGGCCCTGGTGATCAACAGCTCTTTATGACTCAGTTTCCCATTTGGAGACAGGAACTTTGCCTCGAGGGGTCCTGGGTGCCTGGATCTAGGGTAGGGGCAGGCTTCAGCGCGAAGGGTTAGCCTGAGCTTTGGTTGCCCTGTGGGGACCTGAGCAGAGAGGGCCACAGCTGACATGCATATTGTACACTTGTTCACAAAAGGCAATACTCGTCTTCTGTGTACTGCTTATGACAGATGACATGGCTTTTGTACAAATGCCACTTCCTTTCCCATGGTTGGTTTTTAACTTGGCTTTTACCCTGTATCTTCCTTGATTATCTCATTGGGTCCGATTGTTGTGAAGGAACGACCTGCTGGACACAAAATCCTCTTACCCCTCTTCTGGGCAGCCCCAACCTATAGCATTCTGTCAGAAGCCATCAAAATCAGTGTTGGTGTCACCGGGGGTGGTTCTTACCCCTCACAGCAGATATCCTTTCCTTAGCACAGTTCCCTTGAAGGCCCTCTCCCCTGAGGTGTCTGGTGCCCTGGGGAGTGGGGATGGGCATCCCGACTGCCCCAGGCTAAGGGACAGACTGCCTCCCTCCTGCTCTGATTCCCTGTCTGGATTTCTGCTTGTGCCTCTCTTGAGTCTCCAGTATGAGGATGGCTGACAGTTCTCTCCCCTCCTCCCGCTCTGGCACATGCAGGGCGACCGTTCATGTGCGTGTCAATGATGTGAATGAGTTTGCCCCCGTGTTTGTGGAGCGGCTGTACCGAGCTGCAGTGACTGAGGGGAAGCTGTATGACCGCATCCTGCGGGTGGAAGCCATTGATGGTGACTGCTCCCCCCAGTACAGCCAGATCTGCTACTACGAGATCCTCACACCCAACACCCCCTTCCTCATTGACAATGATGGTAAGTCCAGCCCCTGCCCACCTTGTGCACCCATATCCCTCAGGACATCCTAGGGCTGAGCTGTCCACTTTGCCCTCCACACCCTCCTTTCCAGATGTGGAGCATTTTTCCTGAGATACCCTCTTTTCAGCTTCCTGCCGCTTAGTTAGCTCCTGAGCCCCCTGCTCCCTGTCCCCCTTGTCTCCCTAGGTTTTCTTTAGTGCTTTTGACCATCTCTATCCTCCCCCGTCCCCACCCCAGGGAACATTGAGAACACAGAGAAGCTGCAGTACAGCGGGGAGAAGCTCTACAAGTTTACGGTGACAGCTTATGACTGTGGGAAGAAGCGGGCGGCAGATGACGCCCAGGTGGAGATCCAGGTGAAGCCCACCTGTAAACCCAGCTGGCAAGGTGAGGAGCCCTGCTCTGTGACTCATCTTGTGAATCATTTTTTACCTTCACCTCACTCTTTGTCGCTTCTGACAGTCATGGGAGCTAGGCTAGGAGTCAGGGGAGGGATAGTTAGTTCAGGCTTGTAACTGTCCACCCTGGACAGCCATTTTTGTAGGAGGCTGAGACTGTCAGTGGAATGGCAAGAGCAGAATGGATAGACAGGAGGGGCTGCCTTCCTCTTCTGTCTCTCCACGGCCCTCTCTCTCCCCCCCATGCAGGCTGGAACAAAAGGATTGAATATGCACCAGGTGCCGGGAGCTTGGCTTTGTTCCCTGGCATCCGCCTGGAGACCTGTGATGAACCTCTCTGGAATATTCAGGCCACCATAGAGCTGCAGACCAGCCATGTGGCCAAAGGCTGTGACCGAGACAACTACTCCGAGCGGGCATTGCGGAAACTCTGTGGTGGGTGTGCATCCCCAGCCCCGAGTCCTGCCCCTTCCCACCCAGCCTTTACATGACCCTCCTCGACCTCTTTCGTAAGAAGCTGCATTATATCTTCTTTTGTCCATGCACAGGTGTATATATTCACAGGGGTGGTGGCATGTAGTTAGCTCTTGTGATCCAAAGATCAAATAAATATGTTATTGGCAAAGATGCATAATTGTAGCACAAAACTATCACCAGATACATGGTGGAAATATGATAGGGAGAGATGGAGAGTTGGAGAATGAGTTAATTGGAGAGGTATTCCTAAAAGAGAGGTCCATTCCTCTCTTGTCTTTGAAAGGCCAGAGAGGTGGTGAGATGAACTGTAGGAGATTGTTTCTCATTAGTCACTCTTTCCCTGCCTGCTCCCCAGTTCCTAATCTGCTGCTGCTCAGCTCTGACATGTGTGCTTTCTGGGGCTTCTGCAGGTGCTGCCACTGGGGAGGTGGATCTGTTGCCCATGCCTGGCCCCAATGCCAACTGGACGGCAGGACTCTCAGTGCACTACAGCCAGGACAGCAGTCTTATCTACTGGTTCAACGGCACCCAAGCCGTGCAGGTGCCCCTGGGTGGCACAGCTGGGCTGGGCTCGGGGCCCCAGGACAGCCTCAGTGACCACTTTACCCTGTCCTTCTGGATGAAGCACGGTGTAACTCCCAATAAGGGCAAGAAGGAAGAGGAAACCATCGTGTGTAACACTGTCCAGAATGGTGAGCCTTGCTCAGGGCACTGGTCGGAGAGTGGGAACCCTAGCCTCTTGTCTGCCTCTATCACTGTCCAGTCTGTGACTGCGAATGGGTCACTTCCTCTTGCTGCACCTGTAAGATGGCAGTGCTAGGTTTGATACTTCCTGAAATTCTTTGATTGGCTCCCAACATGAGAAGTTGAGATCCTACTGCTCTCAGAGTGCAGTGGGACTGCTCACTGCCATTCTCACTTGGGGGTGCCCAGTCCTCCTGCATCCCACTATAGACTGCCCCCGAATCTGCTCCCATTGAAACCCTTCCTCTATGGTGGAAAGGCCTGGGTGGTGGTGTGCCCCATCCTTTCTCCTCTGCCTCTACCCATTTTCCTCTTATAAGGGCTAGTTGGCTCCATCACTAAGTACATCTTCTCCCTCAACTGTGTGACACATCCTTCTGGGGCTCGAGTGTCAGGGGGCTCAGCTGCATATGCTCTTTCATTTCTGCCACTTCTCTGAGGTCATATATCGTGACTTGAAGAGGATTGTCACCAGTGATGTTTGTATTAACCAAAGGACCAATAATGATCTGGGTGGAAGCAGGTTGGCTGGTGTCCCCCCTCAGCCAATCAAAGTGCCCAAGGAGCTCTAGTTACCACCTGAACTGGGCATAGGTGTGTGTGTGTGTGTGTGTGTGTGTGTGTGTGTGTGTGTTGGGGGAGAAGACTAGTGAATGCAGGTGTGAGGGAGTGCATGAGAGGGCAAAGAGAACCCAGTGTCCTCTCCCTTCTGGTGCTTTGAACCTGTTCTTGCCCCAGGCCTTGTGTTTGAACCCCATCCCCATCCTCTGTCCTCAGAGGACGGCTTCTCTCACTACTCACTGACGGTCCATGGCTGCAGGATTTCCTTCCTCTACTGGCCTCTGCTGGAGAGTGCTCGCCCAGTCAAGTTCCTCTGGAAGCTGGAGCAGGTGAGGCCAGTGCCAGAAAGATGGGTGCATGTAACTTGCTTTCAGGGGAGGAGGGGCCTAGGGCAGGGGTTTGAGTTTTTTGGGTCGCTAATGCCCCCTCTTTCTGTTCCTCACCATTATACCCCTAGGTTCTTTTGTTTTCTATTTCCAAGGCTTGTCTCCTGCAGAAAGCACTCCTGGGTTAAAAGGAAATAGGAAACAAATGACTACTAACATCAAACCCAACCAACCATTTCCTCCCCCTACCCCTTGTTTTATTTAATCTCTTTCTGATTTAGAACCTTAATAGTACATGTTTTTGACTCTCAAGCAGTTAGCATGTTGTAATTGAGAAAATAAGTAATTCTGAGTTACACAGATTGGGTTTGAGTCCCGCCCGGGGAACTTACTAGCTCTGAAAACTTGGTTAATATGTCTAAACTTCAGTTTATTTACCTATTAAATGGGGATAATAAGAATTCTATATTCAGGGTTGTTGTAGGATTAAATGACACGATAGACCTTTATACTGTTATCTCTGTTTAACAACAGAATATGTTCTAAGAAATGCGTTGTTAGGCAATTTCGTTGTGTCAACATCACAGAGTGCACTTACAGAAACCTATTACACACCTAGGCTATATGGGATAGCCTCTTGCGCCTAGGCTACAAGCCTGTATAGCATGTTACTGTGTAAAACCACACGAGGTTAAATCAAGCACAAGAGAAAATGATGCAATCAAGACCCATAGTAAACATGAGAAATCTGAGGCTGCTGCTGGCATAACAGTTCACAGTTTTTTACAGCAAAATTTTTTTATGAGTAGAAAGACTACATTCTGAAATAATGATAAAAAGTATAGTATAGTAAGTACATAAACCAGTAACATAGTTGTTTATGATCATTATGAAGTATATGTACTGTACATGATTATATGAGTTATTCTATATATAACTGGCAGTGCAGTAGGCTTGTTTAGACCAGCTTCACCACAAACAAGTGAGCAATGTGCTGCACCTTATGTATGACAGCTACGATGTCACTAGGCGACAGGAATTTTTTAGCTCCATTATAATCTTATGGGACCACCATTGTATATATGGTAGATTGTTGACCAAAATGTCATTATTCCACACATGACCATAGACTGGAAAGGACTCTATACATGTTATTTCTTATTGTTATTATCTGTGATTATGAAGGATAAGTAAAAATGGACCAAAACCCCACAAAAGAAAACAGTAAAATCCTCTCTTGAGCCAACAGTTGCATTCTCCAAGCTAACCACAAGGACTAGTGGGGACTAATGGGTTTCCATCTCCTATTTTTCTTGCAAGCCCTGGTGGAGTGGCTGGTTAAGCAAATGACTGAAAAAAGGCAGGAAGTGGAAGAGAGAGAATGGCAAATGAAGGGCCTGGAAAACCCACAAACTGGATAGTTGAGGGCTGTTTGCAAAAGCTTCTGCTTTTTGTGGTACTTTTTAAAAGAGATAGTCTGCCATTTGCTATTTCTTGACCTTCTGCCATGTTGCTAATATTGGTAACATTACTCCTATTTTTATTATACTTTTATTTATTCAAAAAATACTTATTAAATATCAATTAAGTCCTTGTCAGTCTGCTAGATTCTGGGGATACAATGGAGTATAAGATGGAACAAAATCTTTGCCTTCATTAAGGCTACATTTCAGTTGGAGATATATTTTTAGAAAGTAAGCAGACATATAAAAATGATGAATAGTGATAAATGCTCTGCAAGAGTAAGGTACTGAAGTAGGGGAAAGGGGAAGGCAAAGATTGGGGAACCTACCTTACACTGGGTGTTCAGGGGAGGTGACTGAGGAGAAAAGGAAGTAGGATGGGAAATAGCTGGTAGGAGAGGGTGTTCTAGGCAGAGAAGAAACAGATATAAAAGCCCTGAAGTAGGAAAGAGTTCAGCATGTTCCAAGCATAAATTATTTTGGGAAAAATCAATTCATAAAATAGCATGTTACCCCTTTTAGAAATGTTTATAGTTTTAAAGATTTACCTGAAGAGTGGAATTTTAGGTATTAGGTTGGTTGCCTGATAGATTTTGCACAAGGATGTTATTCCTTGAGCTGGATAGGCAATAAGTCCCTAGTAAGTCCCGATGATAGAACTGTCCCTTGATTCTCAGGAGAAGGGGCAGTGCCTTGTGTTAGTTCCCTGAAGATGAAGTCACTGAGGGGTTCTTGCCCCTACCCTACTCCCCCAGGTCTGCGATGACGAGTGGCACCACTATGCTTTGAACCTTGAGTTCCCCACCGTCACACTCTATGCTGATGGCATCTCCTTTGACCCTGCTCTCATCCATGACAATGGTCTCATCCACCCACCCCGAAAGGAACCTGCTCTCATGATCGGGGCCTGCTGGACTGGTAAGTCGCTGAGTTGCTCCATGAAGACACTGAAGGTTGGAGCCTCTAGTGCAGTGATGGCGAACCTATGACACGCGTGTCAGAGGTGACACGCGAACTCATTTTTTTTGTTGATTTTTCTTTGTTAAATGGCATTTAAATATATAAAATAAATATCAAAAATATAAGTCTTTGTTTTACTATGGTTGCAAATATCAAAAAATTTCTATATGTGACACGGCACCAGAGTTAAGTTAGGGTTTTTCAAAATGCTGACACGCCGAGCTCAAAAGGTTCACCATCGCTGCTCTAGTGGCTTAGAATTGGTGAAGGAGCAAGGACAGTTGGGCAAGGTGACTCAAAAAGATCTCCAGTGGCCACCACAGCCCCCTATATCTCCTACCTATTCAACTGGTCATCACCTCTAACTTGGAAAAATTTCCTTCTCAGGCATCATGGGAATCTTTCTGTTACTTCAGCCAGTTTCCACTCTGGAACAGTGGAAAAAAATCATCACAGTGATTATGATTTCCACAGCCCTTTACCCTGTTGGAGGGCAGTAATCCTTCAGAGTCATCAATCTTCCAACTTTAAGCTCTTTCTTTCATTTATTTTTTTCCTTCTGGGAGAGTGTGTGTGTCTGTCAGTCTTACCAGAACTTGTGTTTCCTCAGCAACATATTTGGGGGTTTGTCTATACTAGAGGCCTGAGGGATTAAGACATAACAAAAGAAGGGTTGGGGCCCTGGCCGGGTAGCTCAGTTGGTTAGAGTGTTGTCCCAATACACCAAGGTTGCAGGTTTGATCCCCGGTAGCACATCCAAGAAACAACCAATCCTATATAATAAAAGGCTAATATACAAATTGACTAAACGGCCGAATGACGGAATGGCCGGTTGCTATGGTGCGCACTGACCACCAGGGGGCAGACGCTCAACACAGGAGCTGCCCCCTGGTGGTCAGTGCGCTCCCACAGGAGGAGTGCTGCTCAGCCAGAAGCCGGCTCACAGCTGGCGAGCGCAGTGGCTGTGGCGGGAGCCTCTCCCGCCTCTGCGGCAGTGCTAAGGATGTCAGACTGACGGCTTAGGCCTGCTCCTTGTGGGGAGCAGGCCTAGGCCATCAGTCGGACATCCCCTGAGGGCTCCTGGACTGTGAGAGGGTACAGACTGAGTTGAGGGAACCCCCCCTCCAGTGCATGGTTTTCATGCACCGGGCCTCTAGTGAATACATAAATAAGTGGAACAACAAATTGCTCTCTCCCCGCCTCTCAAATAAATAAATAAAGAGGTTGCAAGTCTTATAAGGGCAGGCCAGAGCAGGAAAGACTTCTTCTTCCTCTCTGTCAATCTGTCCTTACAACTTTGAGCTCACTGCCACTTTTTTTCCTCCTCCAGAGGAGAAGAACAAGGAGAAAGAAAAAGGTGGAGACAACAGTACGGATGCCACCCAAGGTACTCTGTGTGTAAGAACTGGAGACCAGAGAGTTCTCACCTTAACTCTCTGTTCTGCACTCCCTTTTCCACACCAAATCCTGTTCAGCCTTGTTAGTTACTGCTTCCCATGCCACCAGGGGGCAGAGCCTCTGAGAACTACAGCAAGGTAGGGTTTCCTTGGTGAGTGGACAGATGGAGTTTGGCTGGATTCTGGGTGTCCCATCCTGCCTACAGAAGGGAGTGAAGGGTTTCTCTCGCTGAAACGCAGGAGGCAGGAGGCAGTCACAGGAGGATCTGGGCATCTGTGAAGCTCACACACATTCACCCTGGTCTCCTTGCATGCTTCTGAAGATGCCCTCTCTTGCAATCTCCTCCTTTTCCTCATTGTGTCTCCTCTCTCCTCCCTGAGTCTTGCTTTTCTTCTTCCCTTTTTCCCTGTCCTGGAAGCTTTTCTTATTTCTGTTGCTTCTATTTTTCACCCCTTTCTCCCCTTGTTTTATTCTGTGCTAGAGGCCCAATGCACAAAATTCGTGCAAGGGGCTCGGTCCTCGAAGCTGCAGCAGCTTGCCTTGGTCCTCGCAGCCCTGGCTTCATCCGGAAGGACATCTGGTCTAATTAGCTTTTATTATTATAGATTCTCTCTCTGCCTTCTCCAATCTCCCACTTAGCCTCATTTCTCTCTCATCTCTCTTCTTTCCTTCTTTTAGTTCCCACCTTTCTCCTTTGCATTTTCTTTCTCAAGCCTTCTGCCCTTTCTCTCTTTTCCCTTTCTCTTAGTCCCTTTCCTTGTCTATTCCTCCTTTCTTCTCACCTCCCATCTGCCCCTGTGTTCCTGCCCTAGGAGACCCCTTGCTGATCCACCACTACTTTCATGGCTACCTGGCTGGTTTCAGCGTGCGCTCAGGCCGCCTGGAGAGCCGCGAGGTCATCGAGTGCCTCTATGCATGTCGGGAGGGGCTGGACTATAGGGATTTCGAGAGCCTGGGCAAAGGCATGAAGGTATACCCCCTTCCTCCAGCCCTCTCCTTCCAGACATGTCCCCAGCTCCCCAACCTTGTCCCACCTCTCTACCTCGGCTCCCTTCCTCTCTTGCCTCCTGGGCCTGCTCTCAGCTGTGTCTGTGTCTGGGACCCAGGTCCACGTGAACCCCTCGCAGTCCCTGCTCACCCTGGAGGGGGATGACGTGGAGACCTTCAACCATGCCCTGCAGCATGTGGCTTACATGAACACTCTGCGCTTTGCCACGCCTGGCGTCAGGCCCCTGCGCCTCACCACTGCCGTCAAGTGAGTGTGGGGTGGGGTGGGCAAGTCACAGAGTAGGGACAGACGGTCAGAACCCTTTGGCGGTCAGGGTAGCTCAGTTAATGGATGGGGAGAGGACACTTGACCTGCTTGGTTGACATAGCCTGGACTAGACTGATTTCCCAGCAACTGATGCATTACTCTTTCCACTGAGCCACACTTCCAGGACTTGGGGTTTTAAACTTCTTGGTGGCTCTCTGCTGATACATAAAGTGGGACAGGGATGGAACTGGATTGGGAGCTGGGAGGGCTGATATTAATTCTGACTCAATACTCATTACCTTGAAGATATCGGGCAAATAGCTCTAGGTGCTTTACCTGTTTTAACCTTGACTCATCAAGCTCTTGCAAGGTCAAAGTGGATGATCTAAGCTCAATCTGACCTGCTGCCTGTTTTTGTAAATAAAGTTTTATTAGTACACAGCCATGTCCGTCCATTTGCATATTGTTTATGGCTGCTTTTCCACTGTGATGGCAGGGTTGAATAGTTGGGACAGAGACTGTATGGCCAAAAAGCTGAAAATATTTACTGTCTGGCCCTTCACAGAAAAAGTTTGCTGACCTTTGCATTTTAAGTGAATTATTTTGAAATCGTTAAAAGAAAAATTATACATTACTTCAAGATTTAAGTATATTTGGTGTTAAAAAATACAGATTAATTGAGAGGTAATGAAAGCATAATAGTTATAGACACAGATATTACTAGCTTTTTCACATCGAACAGATGCTATAAAGCAAGGATAACAATAGAATTTAATTCATGGAATTGTTATAACTAAATGGTATAATCCAGATCAAACGCCTGGCAGAGTGCCTACTCTGCAAATGTTGGCTCTTATTATAAGGGAATTTTCACCCCTTATTAGGTTTATGGGGCAGTTTTTAGGATATACTGCCATCTAGTGGGTGGATTACACAGTGTAAGAGTCAGGATTCTTGTGTAAGCATTCTCTTCTTTACGCTGCCTCAGTTTCTCCATAAACTGTATGAAGATTACTACCACTGATTTGTCCCTATCTTGAGGGGAGTGGGTTTAGAGATGAGAGAGTTCTGAGCCCTAGGCAGTGACTGGGTGTAATGATCAGGCCTCACAATTAGGGCAGTAGAAGGCAGGGGCAGGGGCTTTGGGGAATCTGGCTGCTGGTAGGTGGTGTGGTGACGATGTGGAGTTGAAGGTCACAGGTAAATGAAGTCATGTGGGCACAGATCAGAGCTGAGGATGTGTCCCATCATGTTATAGTCAGAACCCTAGTTGCCAGAGGGCTGTCATCCAGTTAAGAAGGGCTTAATCCTCCTCAATCAGCCAAGGACCAAGTCAGAAGGGAGGGCTCTGTCTCAGCTCAGGGTGGAGCTCTGCAAGCATAGTCCCACAGGGCGCAGGAGTTGACATCCCCTTTGTTGATGGGCTTATCTGAATCCCTCCTACCTTTTTCGGCTCAGGAAGGGGCTTATATAAGGCTGGGAAATTGACTTTGATCCTTTGTATAGGAGAGGGGCCTTGTTGGTTTTCTTTTCTGAGGTAAGAAAAAAAAAGAAAAGAAAACATAAGAGGTTGTGTAATTTTGGGCCCCATTTTGAAAATGGAAAAAACAGGGAGGAGACAGATTCTTACCAGGACCTTCCTTTTT